TATTTATTATAGGAAAGCAAAAAGGAAAAGAACCAGAAATAAGTGATAATTTAGCAATAGCAACATCTTCAAGATCACCTAAAAGACCAAAAAAATAAAAATAATTCAAATGAAATTTTACAAATTAATAATATTGAAGCAAGACAACAATGGTTAGAGCAGAGAAGCAGGCAGTTGAATTATTAAGACAGAAGGTTGCTTTGGAAAAAGAATTATCTTAGTTGAGAAATAGAGAGAATATTGATGAATAATATATTTTTTCTTATATTTGATTTTGAATTTATAAATTTTAAATAAATAAATAAATATTTCTTGATTAAATGAAATATTTTATAAAATAAAATAGTCGGAATTTATAATCTTTTTGATAAATAATTTTATTTTTTATTTAGTTTAAATACAAAGCAAATTGTTAAATATTTATAAATTTACGGTAAACTGCCTTACGAATGGCGCAGTAATAAAGACTAATTTTTTTTTCCAGCTTTTAAAAAAAAATAATTAATCTTTATATACAGTTCGAGAGGCGGAGTAAAACCAGTACGGTACGGTACGATCATAATTGGATGATCGTACCGTACTGATCAGCCGAACCGTACCGTACCGGTTTTCCTCCTCCCTCTCAATTATGTAATAAAATTGACAAAGTAAAACTAATATTTGTCCGCTGATTAGTGGTTGAAGACTTTTAATGTTGTACTTTGAATTGTATTTTTATATCTTCTTTTCCAAACAATTGATTTAGAGAATCTCTCGAATGAAGAAAAAAATATTTCATTTAACTTAACTATAACCGTTAAATCATATAAATAATAATAAAAGTTTATCAAGAATGACTTAGGAAATTATAGATTCATGTAAAAAATAATTAAAGAAATATATAAAAAAGAAATTTATTTCATTATGTACAATATAATATTTCTTCATAATTTCTCCTCAATTTAAATTTCCATCATTAATAGAGACTAAAATGTTCGTTAGGATTAACTAATTTAAAGTATATCTTCTATATAGAGCAGTAATAACTTTGATTGCGAACATATCAAAACTTTTTGCAAAGTTAGATCGCATTGGTATGATATTGCTGGTCATAGTACATAAAATATCTCGGAATATTTTTTAGGAGAGGGATTGTCAATACCAGAAATGCTGGCATAATTCTATTATTAACTAAACTTTTTAATATTTAAAATATATTTATAATATAAAGTTTATGTACAATAATTCATTTCTTAATTGTCTGCCATGGATACCGTCAAGGTTTGTATTTATGACTTTCATTTAGTGAATTTTATATGAGTTTGTTAACAGAAGTCATAACGGTCACATGACCAATTTCGATCACCCATTTGACCGACTGGTTTGTTCATAATATTAGATCAAGAGTTCCTTTTCGTAAAATTGTAAATTCAACAGATACAATTACTTGCACATAAATTTGTTAACATAATCGACCAATCAAACGGTCTGTTCGGTTGTCAAAGACTTTGACCGAAGCTAATATCACTTGTCTTACATAAGCCTATCAATATATGGCCATTTTACTGTGTTACGTTCGGGATGATCGTGAACAAAAAAGCAGAATTTTATTATTTATGGGCGTAATTTGTGAAACGTTTTTGCAAGACACAAAAAAAAGTGATTCGTTAAATTAAATCGACAGATGATTTAAAAAGTACACTCTATCCTTTTTTATTTTATAATTCCTAAAATGCCAGCTAAACAGTCGATTACAAAGCTTCCACCTGAACTTTTTGTCGAGTTTTGCGCTTATTTAACGCCAAGTGATTTATTCATCCTTTCTAAAGTATGTCGTAAATTCTATTGTTACTTAAGTGCACCAAATTCCTTTTCTACCCAGCAAATATGGAAGAAATCTCGATTAAAATTTATGACAAATGACTTGATGCCTCCACCAAATGGAATGAATGAAAAGTGTTATGTTGAATTATTAATAACGGAACGAGGTTGTCAAATTTGTAAAATTAATAAAAAATGCAAGATTTATTGGGAATTCGGAGTTAGGTGTTGTTCAAAATGTTTCTCTGAGAAAACCATAATGTAAGTGTTTTGAGCTTTTTTAAATGAATCGAGTTGAACATAAGTATTCTGAAGAATGCTGAGATTTGTTATTTAAATTAATTTCATAGGGTTGAATCGTATGTGGATTATCCAAGAGACTTGCTTGAAATTATGCCATTTATTAACAAATATGGTAACATGTATTATTGGAAAGAACGATTAGACTTTGATTGTGATCAATACACGTCATTTTTTCATGGTTATTTATCGAATTTGCAATCTTGGTTAGATGTTAAAAAAAATAAGTTTGATTCTATAATGAAATATGCCAAAGCTAAACAAAAAAAAAATGAAGTGAAAAAGATAAGTTTTTCATCTGATTGGCAATGTCCTAATATACCCTATGTATGATGCAGTTGAGTCACTACAGACAGATAGACCTCGTCGAGAAAATTTGGATGAGCCAAAAATACAATATTTTATTGTTAAAAAGAAGGAAAAATAAAGGAAAGAAAAGATAAGATTTTAGCAAATATAATAAATATTTTTTAAAAATAAGTTTATTTATGAATATGGTTACATTAAAAAAAAATGTTGGGAATTGACTTCTGTTCTTATATAGTCATTTTTATTTACTTTAATAACATTATGATTAAATAAATTTTGAATTATTGAATTACAAAAACGCGCAAGTTTTCATTCATGATGCAGTTTTCCTCTATTTCTTTTTAATCTTTTATATTTTACAGAAGGAAAAAATTTCAAATTTTCACATAACAATTAACTAAATTAAAGTACTGCTTTAATTTTATTAAAAACTTTTAATAGTTGGGAGTTGTAATGTATTTGTGGTAAAATAATGAAAATACCGTGCAAATTTTAGTTTCGTACAATTTTTGTGTAACTAGTTCAATTTTTCATAAAAATGGCGTATTGAAAGAAATTAAATCGTACAGAAAAAAAAATTTGAAATTTGAAATATTGGGTAAATTAAATTAATTAATTTTTTACAAAAATTGCAAATAATAAATAACTGACATTCTTGGCGTTCAATGTAAACTTGCAAAGCAATATAAATTGAAGTTTGGTAAATCATCATACAAATCTTTATTGATCTCATTATATATTGCCATATTATTATTAACTTAGCACGTCTTATTACCAAGTTGAAGCGAAAATAAATTTTTTAAAGAAAGATATTAACTATGAGAAATTGAATTAAACATACTTCTATTATTATCTCCATTTATTTTTAAATGCAAGGCAAACTTTCAAATAAGATGTTGTCCTTTAATGACAACGGTAGATATTTACCTAATATAATCTTTATATAGTATATTATAACATGAACCTTTTGATTTTCTTTACAAGGAACTTATATCCGCTTGTTGTTAATCTTTGTTCTGACATTCAGATTTAATATTAAATATATTATTTAATTAATCCTTAGCACAACTTTGTTAATTTAATTACATTCACAAAAACTAGCCAACTTTACATTAAAATTTATCAACTGGCAAAATGTCTACAATTTACCATATTGCCTTCCTACCTTACGCGCGAAAAATCAATGTCTGGAATGTTTCCAGGAAAATCAGGTTCTGAGAATTTTGACTAAAATGTTATTGCTAACATTATCTAAAAAGTGAAATGCAATAAAACCTCATTTTGGTAAAAATCTGTTTTTTCTAGCAACATTTCATAAATTACTATTTATGCGAAAGATTTCTAAAAAAAAACTAGCTAAATAATCAATCATTGAAATTTAGATAACGAGTAAGATCTCATTACATTAAATGTATTAATTCTGCAGCAAATGAAAATAAGTTCTAAATTTCTGATATGCTTGTATCTAGTTGCTTATTTATTTTGTAATGTTGCTAAAATAAGGTTATGTTTGCATTTGTATATACGAATAGATAATTTTTTTTTGCTCATCATATCCTAACCTAAATCTGATTAACTCGAGAATAAAAAGAGATTTTCTTTATCTTACTATTAAATTACGTTAATGTATGTATTTTCTTAAAAATCATTCAGTTATTTCAAATCAGAATTCGCATTTTTGATATCCCAAGAGTTTCAGATATGCGATTGCCAAATGTGTCAACGAAATCTATTTTTTCATCCATAATTTAATGCCTTATAAATCTTTACTAAATTCGTGATCGTTTTGGACATATACTTTTCTACGGAATATTTTAATTTCATTTTAGTATGAGATGAACTTAAAAGAACTAAATGAACATTTAGTGGCATGGCAATCCGAAATGATAATTTGGTACTTTCTCTGAAATGACTATGTTCATTTGGCCAGGTTTGGCAATGGATATATCAATTGGTAAACAATGGACAATATACACTTTCCATTGTGTCCATTAAAGTTCCCATAGTCCATTGTTATCCATTGATACATAAATTCACAATATAAAAGGTGATTACTGTTTCTGTGAAGCTTTTTTTTCAAATGGAAAACGCAGGAGGAAACCGCCGCAACCATACAAATCGGTTAAAATACTTCACAAGAAAGATTTTGAAGCTATCTGTATAAACAATACAATTTATGACGGATGACATAAAGATTTATATATTGTATCTGTTGTAGTAAATTAAATTTCTAGATTTATATTTAAAAATAACATTATTAACATTATTAATGTAATAAGAGAGTTTAAGCGTATCGTAATATAAATAAACTTGATTATATTTTAATATATAAATCCGAAAACTTTGATCTTTAACTTTTCTGAATTTCGATCGGGATTTGTAAACCTCGGGATCATGTGATCATTGCGGATAGTTGGTAGCTTGTCAGGAATATTTTTTATACGGAATACAATTAAATGATTAATATTAATATTTTTTAATAAATTCTAAATTATATTTAATAATTAACAATGGACACGTTTTATATTTCCAAAGCTGACAACACTGATTTTACATTTGGGAAGAGCGTATATTTGAAGCGATGCGATATTAACTTTTGGGATATCCTATCCAGGTGCGAAATCCGATTTTGAATGATCATTCACGCATTTGAGGTACAACATATCTTCATTATTAAAAAGACGATTTTTAAATCGATTTCTCTTTTAATATATATATAAAAAATTTTTCTTGATGGTTCAAAGTCTTTGAAGTTTAAAATAAATATGTCTCAAGACAACGAAAATGACTTCCCTGAAAAAACGATTTTCAGGAATTATTTGTAAATCGTATTTTATGGTTTATGGTTACTAGATAGTTGCCGGGTTTTATCTTATGTTGAACTTGGTGTTAGACATAAGGTAAGCGTCACTAACTTTAAATTCTGTTGCGTTTTTTTTTTTAGTCAATATCTTCTAAATAACCCGTGCTTAAAATTTATTTGAAATAAATAATCATTAACAAAATGCTATAAAATCACGTTACAAATCATATGATTTACTATGATTGTAACTCGATTTAATATCAAATGACTTTTATATACAGATAGTGTATAAACAAACAAATTTATTATTATTTTCGCAACATCATGAAGAATAAATAGGTCCTGTTAATTATATGGAGCAGTTAGCTTACATTCAAAATTGAATGAGGAGAAACTTTTTGAAATATTTATTTGATTAATTTACAATATACTTTTTAACATCCTTTTTTACAAAGTATGCCAAAACATTCTAAACAAAGTATAATTGCGAGATGAAATATTGGTTTTGGATAATCATTTATTTACAAATTATACGTAGCATTCATATATTTATATTGATAACTTAGTATGCCGTTAAATCCACCATCTGGACTATTTTACGATTAAATCACATGAATCTTGATGAATGTAATTTATTTAATCTGAATCTTTGGTTTCGTAACTGAACCTTTTAGGAAGAGGAGAAAAAATCTAAAATTTAATAGAAATGACTTATATTATCCTTTCCAAGAACTTTCCAAGAACGTTCAAAGTTAGCCTAGTCATAAAAGTGTTATCCAAATTACGGAATTTCAACTTAATAAATCAGGACGGATATAGATATTTATCTTGAAAAGTGCAAATTTTTAGATATTATCTGAAAATTATTAGTATCACTCGGACATTTTCGGTAACATTTTGAGGAATTTTCTTTAAGAAATATGACTTTAGATTAACTGTCCTTTTCTTACCTATATATCTACAGGTAAAATATTAAAAGTAGGATTTGTAAGGTAAAGAAAATTATAAGAACACTTTTACTATTGTAATCTATTTATAAATATTTATAGAAATTTATAAACTAGGAATTGAATCTTCGAGCGAAGTTTTGGAATATAAACAATTTAAAATCAAGAGAATTATAAATTGAGGTTAACTTTATTTGCAAAGTACGATCAGATATAAATAAAGTTATTAACTAGGGTATTTATGGCCGAGGGCTGAAAAAAATTTGAAAAATCCCTTTTTTGCATTATATTTCTTCATAGCTAAAAAATATTTGCCTAACGATTAGATTAGAAAGATTTAATACAAAAAATGGTGCACCTCACCTCACCTCTAGGGGCTCATATAACCATTAAACATCTTGAGCAAGGATATGCAATACCTATAGGGATTGCGAAATCGAGGTATACCACACACAAAATTATCGAACCACCTCAAAACGGATATATGCGTCATCTTAAAAGCTTCATTAACTTCTAAAATCATCATATTAAAAGTATAGCAATCAAAAAATTTATCAAATAATTTACCTCTGGTATTTTCTTCGAATATTTTGATAAAAATAACAAAAAAATAAAGAATAGAATGCCTCTATTTTTTGAATTATGTTTAAAAATATTTTAGTGTATCAAGTACACATTGTATACTTCGTATTCTTTAAAACAATATTTATTGAATTTTTATTTTTTGTATAATCTAAAAATTTTTCATAAAGCATATTAAGCGATAAAAAAAAAAGTTCTAGTAAAAAAAAAATTGTGAAATAAATCGACAATTTCACAATTCATAAGCTTTACATGTAGACGTACGTTGATCGAATTAGAGGTTACGATAAACTGGTTTTAAATCGGTTATTGGCTAAAACAAAATATTAGAAAAATATAAATATTTAATTACTTCTATATAAAAAAAACATTTTTTAATAAAAGAAATACATCTACTTCATTAATAACTAACAAATTTGATTAGTTACAAAAAAATTATCATGGTTTTTTAACCAACTAATCAGTTAAATTACCATTCAGTTTTAAAAAATATTATAACCGGTTCTAACCTCTAGATCGAATCATTCTTTTAGTCAAAAAGTCCAAATTTGATGACGAATAAGATCAGGAACCATTCTTTTCAATGAAAAAAGATCGAAATCGTATAAGTTCAAAGCTGTTTATTCTGACGAGGAAGATCGAAATATTTCTTTCTTTCGAATAAGAACTTCTTCGAATTATATCGATGTTACTTGCTTCCGATAAAAAAAATAATTAATAACGATTATACATCATATAAGCGCAACCTTTCTTTTAGAAAACGTTATTTTCTGTGATAAGAAAGAAACCGTTCTTTCAAATGAAAAATGATCAAAACTGTAAAGGAACTAAAAGATCGAAAAGTTCACATTAATTTGAAAACATGAATAATTTGAAGTAATCAGAATCCCACCATATCGCATGATCGTAATCATGATCTTCGTAATTCGCAATTATTTTACATTTATGATCATTTGAATCAGTGTTAAATACACTTATAAATTTATAAGTATAAATTCAGCGTGATCAGAATCACACTATCTCATATGATCATGATCACACCATAATTTTACATTTGAATCAGTGTTATTCGAATGTCAGTATAACAAAAGCATCATATTAAACGGAAAATATGAATAAATATGATGTGAACGAAATCTCATCATCTCATCATCTCATATGATCATGATCATGATCCCTTCGTAATTTACAATTATTTACATTTATGCTCATTTGAATCAGCGTTAGATACACTTATAAACGTGTCAGTATAATGAAAGCATCATACTACTAAACGGAAACACAAATTCCGCTCTTAGAAATCTTCCGTTAGGAATTAAGGCCATGGATTTAGGTTCGATATACTTAAAAATAAATGCACAAAGCTATGGGTCTTTCTCGCTGCTCCTCTTCTTATAAGAATAACCTTGGGCATATTTTCAATACAATACCATTGAAGCACGAAACACCGCTATAAAACTCACTTGTTCAATTAAAAACAGAAAATTATCCTGGGTCTTGCCTGAACAGATCAAGGATCTTTGCATTAGTTGTTCTTCGCCTGCGCACAAAGTAAAATAATGTGATGCTTTTCAATACCGTAGTATAAATTGGTACTAAAGTCATCCAAGTTCTATATAACAAATATAGATCTGTATGTTATCCCCAACCTGCTTCTTCCTTCAATAATCGCTTATCTTCCATAGCTAGATCTAATTCCTGAATAGAAAGAAATCAGTTTCATACACGGAAGAATTGCTCTTCAAGCTTCCATGCACATACACACTTCTGGGTCAACAAAAAAGACAAAGGAAAACAAAAAGTTGTTAACTCACATGTCTCCGCACATTTCAAATGAATACATGACGATTCTTTTATCAGCTCTCAAATTTGCTATATCCGTATTGTGTTGATGTCCTAGACAAGATATTATATTCATAAAGATGGTCAATGATCCTACATGGTCCTATCCAGTCTGGTCTTGTCTTCATAAAACTGGACTATGATCCGAGATCACGTGTGATACAGTAGGACCGAATCAAAGACTGTCAGTCCTTCATTTCGGCCTTTATTTTTTTTTAAAGTTTACTAGTTTAGATCATTAGATTATAAAATGATCAATATTTATTTACCTTTTTATTAAATCAAACTAACATTTTTTTTAAAATAACAAAAAAAAAAGTTTCTCGTTTTTTTAAAAAAACTAAAATAATGAACATTTAAACTTTTTCTTTAGGTTTGAAAGCTACATTTTGAAAAAATAAGATTATTATCTTTAAAAAAAGTCTGTGCATCTATTTAATTTAACTTATCCTCTTTTTCTAGGTTTGGAAGCTACTTTTTGATAGTTTAAAATATCATTTGTGACATTGAAAAAGAAAAAAGTAATTTAAAAAAATAAATTCATCAGTTACCTTTAATATCACTCAACTTGCCTCTTTTTAAGTTCAGATGATGTTTTTGAATAGTCTAAAGCGACATTAGTGACATTTATTACATTTATTAATGATATTGAAGAACAAAAGGTTTAATTAGGTTATATTCTTTTTTTAAAAAAAGCTTGTCTGTTACTTTAATTAACTTTACGTTGTCAACCAATGTTGCATGCAAAAATACTGTGACTTTTCAAAGCTTGGTTTTATTTCTTAACAATATCACTGACTTGCACAGAATCAAGTCTTACATAAAATATAAAAGAACTATTTTATTTCAAATCCAAACTGAACTGACTCTCTTTTAAACTACACTGAATCGCATGCCTATTTATCTGTTTTCACATCAATTTCCATCCAGATAATCCTAATACTCAATGATTTTTCCTACATGACTTCTTTCTATTTCCGTTGTTAAGCTTAAACTGTTCGTCGTTAAGTTAATAAAGATTATTTGCTAGCAGGTAGTTTAAGTACGTTTAAACTATGGAATAAATAAACACGAATAGTTAAATTGAAGGGTCAGGTCGTCTTTATTGATATAGATTTAAAGAAGAATGAATTAAGTTTACAAGCAGAGATAAGTCTTAGAGATAAATGTTATTGTTTTATTAGAGAATTGGTAACGACTCTGCCATTTATTGAGGCAGAAATACAAGATATTTATATAAAATACATCAATATGAAATAGGTATTTAAGATAGTAAAGAAATATAAAAATATAATAAAATAAAGAAATTAAATATATTAAAGAAATATGTTAAATTAGAGATTGCTAAGAAATTAGTGAAATTAGAGAAATCAGAAAAATGGTAAAAAGTTGAGAATCATAATCGTTAACAATCAACAGAAAATTTACTATAAAATCCAATTATATTAAAAATCACCTTCTTATATCAATTAATTTACAGTGTATCCAGTCCAGTTAATTAATTAAACACATTAGTTATATATAAAAAAATTAAAACAAAAAATCTAAAACAGGATATAGCAAACCTAGTTCACTAAACTTTCATTTTATTCTTGATATCTCTCTATCATATCATGATCCATTATTTGACATACTAGTAAATTGATTATTCTTATTAAATCAAGCCCCCAAAATTCCATTATAAAATACCCAATAAGTTTTAATTATCCTCATTAATACATACAATTAAAGGCATTAACCTACGCATGCTAATTATCCTTTCATTCATTTCAAATCCAGTTTACAGAAAATCTGTTTGATTATATAATTATATCATTTATACAATGTCTTATTATAATACAAAACCGTTAATGATTTTATATGTGTTATCCAGTTATACAATACATATAAAGATATAAAACAAATTAAAACAAATTAAAATAAGAAATGGCAAGCCAAGTTCACAGATGTTCAAAATATATTCACATATATCAATACTTTTATTATTATTCACAGTCCAAGGGGTAGCCTAATCCAGTCAAGAAAATTTAACACGTTGTTAAGCTTAAACTGTTTATCATTAAGTTAACAAAGATTATTTGCTAGTAGGGAGTTTAAGTGCATCCAAACTATAAAAGAAATAAACACAATTAATTAAATTGAAGAGTCAGGTCATCTTTATTGATATAGATTTAAAAAAGAATGAATTGAGTTTACGAGCAAAGATAAGTTTTAGAGATAAATGTTATTGATTTATTAAAGAATTGGTAATGATTCTGCCATTTATTAAGGTAGAAATACAAGATATTTATATAAAACACATTAATATGAAATAGATATTTAAGATAGTAAAGAAATATATGAAATATAATAAAATAAAGAATTTAAATATATTAGAGAAATGTGTGAAATTAGAAAAATCAGAAAAATAGTAGAAAGTTGAGAATCATGATCATCAAGATTACCATTCGTCAATTATGTTAGGCACAGTATTGTGCATCATAACAAGTCTATAACTAACAATGTAAGTATCACTCTCAGGTTTTAGCTGCGCTAAAATTGGATCACTACTCTTTTTGGCAAGAAAGATATATGACAAAATTGATCACTTTTGACATCAGGAATCAATTAATTAGCATATACGTTATCCAAGTTGCACCTCCTATTTATTGTATTTCTTTTATCATTTTTTACATAATATAACTATTAATTTATTTAATTCAATAAAATCTTTATTTTATTTTAATATAATTGATATACATTGATTCTTTCGCTAATTACAATGTTTATTATAAACTAAGTAAATTACATTTAATTATCATTCTTACAAAAATAAGAGGTAATATAAGTATATTTGATGTGTAAAACAAGAAAAGCAAACCAATACATGTCTGGTGGTTGAAGAAAGGAAATTGAGTGAGGGAAAAAAAGAGTTTATATGAGAAAAAGAACTATTTATAAACAATAAGAATTTCTATTTATTTATTTATTTATTTATTGAGGTTTAATTTTTCTGATAATTAATACAGAAAATTAAATCTTTGGATTCGACTTGATAAGTGATTAATATGCTATTAGAATCACTTTACATATAATTTATTATGTTTGTAACTTGATTTTTATAGCAAATGTCGATTCTACTTTTTGAATTGAAATTTCTAACTAATAGATAATTTTTTTTTATTTAGTAAAATAAATAAATCTTATTTATACTTGCGAACAGATGATTGGTCAGCAAATTATTATAATATGATAAAAATCCTAATATTCTTTATTAAAAATCTTAATTATTCTATTTTATAATATAATTCTGGTCAAAAATTATTTCACAATTCAAATTACTAACAGGTCAATCAATGCATCATTATAAATTTGAATGTATTTTTTTTTTAATATTAATATCTAAAATCAACATCATACAAATAGAAGTGATTGATTTAATTTCAAATAGTTTCTTCGTAATATATATTTTGGTTGAGTAAATTTATTACAAATATTCAAGGAGTAATTTCTTATTAGGAAATTAGTATAATATGATAAATGAAATTTAAATTTTAATCTGATATTACAATCGGTTTGATATAACTCGTACTTTTCAAGATAAAAATTTTGAGGGTATCTTCATAATTATAAAAGTGTAAATTTTATATTGAAAAAAAAATATTTCAAAATTTAAAATTAATAAAAAATAGTAAATTAATCAAACACCTTTTACTTCAACAAATTCAAAAAAGAAATATATTTTCTATTAGAAAGTCAGAACTTTCGTGACCTTCTTTTGGATGATGATATGGGGTCTTTGCAATAGAAAGGAGGGAAACAGCATAATATTAGTTTTTGAGATAAATGGGGATTTAGTAAATAAACAAATTATGCCATGTGTAATAAAAATAGAACACATGATCTCCTCAAATCTTCAGATTTAGGAAAATTATTTATCCAGCAGTTTCCCCCCTTTCTATTGCAAAAGTTTTGGAGATAGATTGCTATTTTTTTTTAAATTATTAAAAATTATTTTTTGCAGCTGTTTTTTTTTAATCACTTACTTTCATATTCTAATAAATTTGTTTATATAAATTACTAGGAATTTATTATAATCAAAAAT